GTTGTTGAAATAGAAAAGTAGTAAAATTAATTTAAGTTTGATAGGACAGTAAGTATTGCATACATATCAATTTCCTCCCAAATTTGTTTCCCCCCCCAAAAAATGGGGGGGAAATCTCCCCCCCCCCGTGGCTTCAAAAATTCCAGAATTTTTACATCTCTAGCCAAAAGGTATCCCCCACAAGGCAAGCTGAAGGTGCAGAATCTCCTCCTTAAATCTCTGAGTCTCCTGCATACATTGGGACAAACGTTTGAAAACCTGACCCACTGCCCTTTCAGAAAACCTCCTTCACGTTGCTCAAGACGTAAAGAGAAGCACTCTTTGTTCTACAACATGGGAGGAAATAAGAGGCATCCTGCCATCTCTGCACAGGCTTCTAGAGTACTTATCATGTGGAATTCACTGCTGCAGGAAGTGCTGGCGGCTACAAGCACAGACAGCTTCAAGAGGGGACTGGATAAACACATGGAGTAGAGGGCCATGGGTGGCTGTTAGCCACAAGGCATAGATGGAATACTCTGTCTGGGGCACTGATGCTCTGTACTGTTGGTGCTTGGCGGGGCCACAGTGGGAGACTTCTGGAGTCCTGGACCCACTGGTGGACCTCCTGATGGCACCTGGGTTTTGGCCACTGTGTGACACAGAGTGTTGGACTGGAGGGGCCATTGGCTGATCCAACATGGCTTCTCTTATGTTCTTATGTCAGGGGCAGTGATGCTCTGTCTTCTTGGTGCTTGGGGAGGGGGCAACAGTGGGAGGGCTTCTGGAGTTCTGGCCCCGCTGGTGGACGTCCTGATGGCACCTGGGTTTGGGCCACTGTGTGACACAGAGTGTTGGACTGGAGGGGCCACTGGCTGATCCAACATGGCTTCTCTTATGTTCTTATGTCAGGGGCAGTGATGCTCTGTCTTCTTGGTGCTTGGGGAGGGGGCAACAGTGGGAGGGCTTCTGGAGTTCTGGCCCCGCTAGTGGGCCTCCTGATGGCACCTGGGTTTGGGCCACTGTGTGACACAGAGTGTTGGACTGGATTGTATTGAACCACTCTGTGTAATCCGCCTTGAGTTCAATATAATGTAACAATATAATACATATAATGTAAATAAATAAAGGGTGATGCCTTAATCCCCACACCATGCTAGCTCTTCCCCATGGAGCTCCTGATGCATGATCTCCCCATCCCAATCGCAACAGATTTACATTTTCGCATCCCCGTGACACTGCTACACTTCCATCAACTTTTCAGCAATTTCTCCCCAACCCTGCTTTGGACAGCTCTTTTCTGGAAGACTGTACCCGAAGCTGGTTTGGGAAAGGATATGTGTGGATTCCCACATCTCCCTGCCTCCATCTTGCCCCCCCATGCGCATACTTCTGGTGGAATTTTTGCAGTGGTTTTTCACCTGTCCTCCAGTAATTGGGCATGGAAATATTGCCATAGTGTTAACATGCCATAGTGAAATTCTGGCTATTAGGAATTTTTAAAAACCTGGCAAGACGTTTGCTGCTGCTGGTGGCGGGGTGGTGGGCAGGAGGGAAAAGCACATTAAATCTCCATGCAGAAGCGCAATGCTGCTACAAACGCCTTGCATCCACAGGAGAACAGGGAAAGCAACCACAAAAAACACAAGGCAAAAGGGCAAGGCAACCACAAAAAGGCAAGGAATTCCCTGCACTGTGCAGGGGGTTGGTCTATATGACCCTAGAGGCCCCTTCCAATTCTAGTATTCTAGGCCTTCAAACTTGATCCAGATTATTCCTGGTTTTTATACAACCGAACACCTACGTTTCACTTTTCTGTCCTGGCCGCCCAAGATCTTTTTCAGCTCATCGCATGGCCTAGCTCAAGGCTCCCCAACACTGTGCCCGTGGGTGCCTGCTGACACTTTTCCCAGTGCCCTGCCAAGTGTTTTTAGAAAGTGGGCGAGGTCAGGTGGGGCTTTTGCCCAGCAAGGCTTCTGATTGGCCACTGAAGATTTGATTGGCTGTGCAAATTTTTATTTATTTATTTATTTATTTATTTATTTATTTATTTATTTATCACACTTGTACCCCGTCCTCCCCGCAAGCGGGCTCAGGGCGGCTTCCATAAAAACATAAATACATTAAAATACACAATATTTAACCAACAATAAAACATCATAAATACAAAGTACTGGCGGCTGATTAAGTTAATCGAGATGGTATATTACAGGAATAAATTTCCACTGCCCAGATGTTCCCCGTTGTTTCTGCTCATAATCAGTTAGATGTTAAGACCACGGGCCAGGCCTGCTGAAAAGGCCTGCAGTAAGGGCCTGCAGTAGCGGCAGCCCCTAGTTAAATGCCTGGTGGAAGAGCTCCGTCTTACAGGCCCTGTGGAACTGCAAAAGGTCCCGCAGGGCCCTGATCTCCTCCGGGAGCTCATTCCACCAGGTAGGGGCTGCCACTGAAAAGGCTCCGGCCCTGGTGATAACTAGCTTGGCCTCACTTGAGCCAGGGAGGGTCAACCGATCTTGGGACCCCGACCGTAGTGCTCTCTGGGGTATATACGGGGAAAGGCAGTCCCTCAGGTAGGCACAAGGGTCTTCAGTGTGACAGACGGGAAGCTGCGGAAGCCTTTTTTTGCCTGGCTCCACCTCCTGTGCCGACCATGCTGTGTCAGAATTCCTGTGCCCACCACGCAGATGCCCGCAGGTGCCCACAGGCTCAAAAAAGGTAGGGACCACGGCTTAGCTTAGTTAAGTACTCCATTTTAAGGGTTGCTGAAAACAGATGCTGAAGCTTTGGTCTTGTGCCTAGAACATTTTTTTTCTCCCTCTTCTTCCCCTTCCAAGGTATTTGGGGTGGTTCCTGTCAAACATCAAGCCTGAAGGAGGAGTCTTGTGGAATTCAAACTTAGTTCTGTGACGTTTTAGTTAATTCTATTTTTTTTTAAGTGGCAAGCGGCTCTCCTTGGATGTTCTTCTATTGGTCCAGCGCAGCTACCTATAATTTCAGAGATCATGCAAGATGGGTAGCCGTGTTAGTCTGTAGCAGTAGGAAAGAGCAAGAGTCCCGTAGCACCTTGAAGACTAACAGAATTCGTGGCAGGGTGTGAGCTTTCGTGAGTCACTGCACACTTCTTCAGATATCTCAAGAAGTGAGCACTGACTCACGAAAGCTCCTCCCCTGCCACAAATTTTGTTAGTCTTTAAGTGCTACGGGACTCTTGCTCTTTTCTATCATTTTTGAGTAAACTGTAACTCAGTGTTACAGCAAAGGTACAGTTTAGGGCACAATCCGTCAACACTTAAGCACTTCAGCATCTCACCAATTTCAACAGGCGGGATTGCTGAATGCAGGGGTCATTTCGTAGAAAAAGAGGTGCAGGAGCTCATTAGCATAACACATTAGCATAACTTTATTTGCCTATGCCACACCCCCTGACATCACCGGAAGTGTGTCAGAAGGCAACACCCACCGCTCAGGCTCCACTGGACTGTTTTGGATTGCTAGCTATTGGGGGGTGGGGGAACGTGCAGATCTGTCCTCGCAGAGGAGGGAGAGCTTGTACCTGAATAAAACTTGGTGCCACTGGACTGTTTTGGGCCGGTGGGCAGGGAGGGCTCTGCAGCTTACCTGGCTGCTTCTTGCTCTGACTGAGGGCTGCTGGGAACAGGGGGGTGGGGCTTGTTGCATGTGCCTGACCCCTGGGCTCCTTACTGCCGGAGCTCCGCTCCTGTGCACTCCTGCAGGAAATGACCCCTGGCTGAATGTGTGCTTAACTATACTCCTGAAATGACTGGGACTTCAAAATGCTTAATGTCGCTGGTCTGGATTCTACCTTTTTATTTCAAACTTCCTCAAACTGGGTGCCACGTTTCGATTTTATCTTTGCTTTGCACCAGGATGATTAGGACTGCCAGGCTGGCAACTGGTGGGAGGGGTTGTGGGCAGCGACACGACGTCTTCTCCACGGCCACGTCACTTCCGGGAAGAATCCAGAAGTGACTTAGGGTAGCTCTAAGAGATTGCCACAAACTGTATGGTGGACTGCAACTCACTATTACAGCAAAAGCACAATTTAGGTAAGGGTTGCCCAGACCCCCTGATCCGGGTGGGGGTCTCCCACATTTGGGCATTCCCCCCACCATTATCCTCTCTTACCTCGAAGCTGGAAACAACGACAACATGCACACATAACCCGGAAGGGACGTAGGCATGTCGGGGACGTCAGGCAACGAGACAGTGGTTTGGGAGCAAAACTCTATGATTTGTAGCTAATTCTACCATAGAGTTTTGCCCCAAAACCAGAGCTTCACCACCCAACGTCCCGATGTCATTTCCTGGTGGCGCTGGCATGTTGTGGCGCTCCTCCCCGCTCCCGGAAACTTCTCTCCCACCCCCCCCCCCTGCCGGTGCATCCTTGGCACCTGGCAGCCCTAGTGTACGTTATGATTGGGCCACAGTTAAGCACTTCAGCATTTAACTGATTTAAACAGGAGGTGGTTGAATGTATGTTCCACTCTAACCATAGAGTTTCTGGCAAATTCCTAGAGCTGCCCTGTGTCACTTTGGAGTTCTCCCAGGAAGTAACAAAGCAGTCCAGAGGAAAACCAACTTTTTTTCCTTTTTCTCCTGCTGCCTGAAGATTATTCATTCCTTGGCTGACAGGTTCATTGAGCAACCAAGGAAACAAAGGTATGAGTGGTCAACGAGATTTTTTTAAAGATCTCTCCACTGTGGAGAGAGAACACAGAGGCCTGCAGCTCTAACAACAACCGTTCAAGCAAAACGACAAGACAAAACAGAAAATCAGCATGCTCACAAATCATCAAACTACAAATAAAAGTAAAAAAAATGAAACAATTAAGATGACAGGCACAGCACAAGCAGAAATGAGAGAGAGAGAGCGCATTCGGAAGACAGTATCTTTAAACTGCAGTAAAAGTCAAATGCTTCCGCTCGATTTTTAAAAGGCGGCTGCAAGATTTGCTTCTAGCTTAAACGCAATTGTTTCTAGCAGTTAAGTCATTTACAACCTTGGCCGTCTTGGTCTCTCTGTCCTGCAGCAATTTTTCTGTTGAGGCCAATGCTTCCATGGCTTTCCAGTTTTTCTCCCGGAGGTCCTAATCGTTTTTAGAAAGAAGGGGTTTCAGTTCAGCCAAGAATTAAAAACTGTTTTTCCCCCCTGCCTTCAGTTTCAGAGAAGGTGAGCATTTGTATTTGCAAATTCAATGTGGGGGACTGCAAAAAGAAAAGAAAAGAAGACGAGGCACACCAGCCAGAGACAAGTGTGACGGTTAGGAGAGGGAGATTTGTATGGGCCATCTTCAAATAGCAAAATGATCATTCTCTTCCCCTTCCCCCGATCTGTTTCTGGCTCTAGGGCTGCAAACGCTGTACTTTGACTGCACTTATCAGGAAGAAAAAGGAAAAGTATTCCAAAGCCAACACCACACACAATGGCACACGGACACACCCTGAACCAGGAAGTAACACCATTTGAGGCGCATTTAAATTGGCTGCAGAAATATAGAAACCACTGGAGTGGTTTTGGAGACACCAAGGAGAAGAAGAAGAGATTGGATTTATACCCCGCCCTTCACTACCCAAAGGCGTCTCAGAGTGGCTTACAATCTCCTTTCCCTTCCCCTCCCCACAACAGACACCCTCTGTGAGGTAAAAGAAGAAGAAGAGATTGGATTTATACCCCGCCCTTCACTACCCGAAGGCGTCTCAGAGTGGCTCACAAACTCCTTTCCCTTCCCCTCCCCACAACAGGTACCCTGTGAGGTAGAAGAAGAAAAAGTAGAGATTTGATTTATACCCTGCCTTTCACTACCCAAAGGTGTCTCAGAGCGGCTTACAATCTCCTTGCCCTTCCCCTCCCCACAACAGACACCCTCTGTGACGTAAGTGGGGCTGAGAGAGCTCTCTCATGAACTGCCCTTGAGGGAACAGCTCTGAGAGAACTATGGCTTGCCCAAGGTCATCCAGCAGCTGCAAGTGGAGGAGTGCGGAATCAAACCCAGTACTCCCAGATAAGAGCCCGTGCGCTTCACCACTACACCAAAGGGAGCAACTCACTGGAAGCCTGCATGAGAGTAGACCACCTAAAGCAGCTCACCCCTAAGTTAAGACCACAGATCCTTTCCGTCTGGTTGCTGAACTCACTGGGGGAGCAGTATGGTTGCCAAGCTCCAGGTGGGGCCTGGAGATGTAGTGATGGCCCCAGGTGGAGATGGCTTTAAAAGGGGATTAGACAGATTCATGGAGGAGAGGCCTATCGGTGGCTACTGGCCATCACGCTGCATCCGTCTCCTCTCAAGCATGGAGGCAATCTGACAGCATCCTCTAAGCAGCCAATCGCCCCTCCCACAAAGAAGAGGGATGCTCTACTGCTGCCTCCACGCTGGAGAGGAGATGGATGGAGCGTTAACAAAGGGTCTCCATTAATGACTCTCAGCATCCCACAATTAAGAAGGGTACATCTGTCCATCGATCTTCCAATTTTGATATGTTTACTTCCTTCATTATGTGCCTGCCCTCCTCTCCCCCCACCCCCGGGAATTAAACTCGAACAAATGGTGACCATGTAAGCTAAAGCTTGTTATATTCCAGTTTGGTCCTTGAACCTGCCAAACAACTTTATTATGCTGCATGAGATCTGCTGCTCACTCAGTTTGGTGTAGTGGTTAAGTGTGTGGACTCTAATCTGGGAGAACCGGGTTAGATTCCCCACTCCTCCACTTGTACCTGCTGATGTGACCTTGGGTCAGTCACAAGCTCTGGCACAGCTGTCCTTGAAAAACAGCAGTTTGTGTCAGAGTTCTCTCAGCCCCACCCACCTCACAGGGTGTCTGTTGTGGGGAGGGGAAGGGAAAGGAGTTTGTAAGCCGCTCTGAGACTCCTTTGGGTAGGGAAGGGCGGGGTATAAATCCAATCTCTTCTTCTTCTACCTCCCAGGGTGTCTGTTGTGGGGAGGGGAAGGGAAAGGAGTTTGTCAGCCGCTCTGAGACTCCGAGTGAAGGGTGGGGTATAAATCCAATCTCTTCTTCTTCTTCTACCGCACAGGGTGTCGGTTGTGGGGAGGGGAAGGGAAAGGAGTTTGTAAGCCGCTCTGAGACTCCAAGTGAAGGGCGGGGTATAAATCCAATCTCTTTTTCTTCTATATGTATGGACTTGGCAACTCCCACTTCAGTGTATCTGAAGAAGTGTGCCTTGCATATGAAAGCCTGTACCTTGAATAAAACTTGGTTGGTCTGAAAGGTGCCGCTGACTCGAACTTTGTTCTGCTGCTTCAGATCAACATGGCGACCCACTGGAATTATTCTGATTTATGGCGACCCTACAAATTAATGGCCTCCAAAACATCCAATTGTTAACAGCCTTGCTCAGGTCTTGCAAACTGAGGTCCGTAGCTTGCTTGGTGGAGCCCAGGGGTCATTTCCTGCAGGAGCGCACAGGAGCGGAGCTCCGGCCGTAAAGAGCCCAACGCGGGGGGGAGACATGCAACAAGCCCTGCCCCCTGCTCCCAGCAGCCCTCAGTCGGGCCACGAGGAGCAAGAAGCAGCCAGGTCAG